CAAGCCAAAGTCGCCGGCGAGACTCACCGGAAGAAAGGGAAGACCGACGAAACAACCCAACTACGAGGACGGACTATTCAGCCTTTTTCAAAGACCAAAACTTTGTTAAGGGAATATCAAACCTGATAATGCAGATCCGGCCCTCTACGTCTCAAGCACCCAAAACCCCAGCCAAAAAAGACCTTACCAACACCCTCAAAGGCAAGAAAACGAACGTTCGCGAAGAAACCACCCGGTCGCCCGGGAGCACGAAGGAAAAATCCACCACCCGGACAGAAAATGAACAGACAGACGAAAGTCGCTCGGTCACGGAACTCGAACCCGAAACACCACCCGGTCGGTTTTCAAACGGCTGGGAAAAAACATGGCCGACGACGACTTGAGGAGAACATTGATCAGAAGGCGAACGACTCAAGCCGAAGAAGACGAAACGAAGAGCTTCCGAAGAAGAATAGCCGAACTCGAAGCTCGACGTTCGGCCCAAAAACGACTGGCTTCCACCAGACAGGACCTGACAGAAGTCCCTCTCAAACGAGCCACGACAACCTCAACGGCACGAACGGAATCCAACCCAGCCGAACCCGAATCACCCCTAACATTTGATATTTTGCAGGAACAACTGCCCGAGAAGATCAAGATCCCGCAAATTGGATTTTATGACGGAAAATCTGACCCAGACACCCACCTAGGATTATACACGTCATGGATGGACCTGCACAGAGCACCGGACGCCCTCCGCTGCCGGATGTTCTCATTAAATTTGGGAGAAAAAGCACAAAGATGGTACCATTCGCTCGCCCCACATTCGGTCGCTAGGTGGTCACAATTAAAGTCCATGTTCCGAACGCACTTCATCGGATCCCAGGCGTGCCGAATTCCCAAAGAATCGATCACTCACATTATCCAAGGAGCAGACGAGAGTTTGAAGGATTATATCACTCGTTTCAACGAACGGGTGCAAAACATGGAACCGTGCCATCAGGAGACCCTGCTCGTTTCAGCATATTCAGGGCTGAGACCAAACTCGATGTTCAAATGGACCCTCTGCCAAAACAAACCTCAGACGTATCACGAATTCTTGATGAAAGCTCAACAACATATCATGGCAGAAGAAAACATGTCCGTCTCGTCATTTCCAGCCCTGAACGAACAAACCACCAAAGCGAATGAATCCCGACCGAACAAGGAGTTTGCGAAGGACGGAAGAAGTGCCCAATTCCGAGCCATGCAGAGGAAACATCACGAGGAACTCACGAACAGCTACCAGGGGGTGTATTCGGCCGGCGCGGCCGTAGTGTATTAAGAGTTGAAAAACAAGGGGATCATCCCAGACCCCAAACCGATCAGGGCCGATGAAGAGAATTTAGGCAAAAGCCGATATTGTGCTTACCACAAATCGCACGGCCACAATACCGACCAGTGTCAGAACTTAATATCTGCCTTGTTGAAACTAATTGATGATCCGCAGGTAAGGAGGTTCACTAGGATGGACGCAGGCAACCGGAGGCCAAGAAACGATGAACGAATGAACCTAGGAGACGAGCCCGATTTTGGAGCGAATCCCTGGAGAGAAAACGAACATCTCAATGAAATCTTGACGATCAGTCAGGAGCAACGAGGCGAGACGAGCGCATCCGGGGGAAGGAAAAGGACAGCGTCCAGGCGAGACGAGGAGCATTCAGTTCACATCCCAATCCGAAGAAGCGGACCTCCCACAAGGGTCAATACGAGCCGGGAAAGTTCGAGCGTGTCAAAAAGACAGGTCAAGTCATACGTCCGAAAAGCACACAACACAGGATACCAAGTCAGTCGAGCGGAGGTCAACCGACACGTCCCCATGCCCACAAACCTAATAATGTTTTCGGATGAAGATTCTCTCCCATTTGATAATCCACACTCAGATACGCTCGTAATCACAGCCCCCATTTTCCGAATCCCAGTCCACCGAATCATGGTGGACACAGGGGCGTATTCAAGTATCTTGTACTTGACCGCATTCCTTAAAATGGGGATAGACCGAAGCGAACTGCGCCCATGCAACGACCGCATAACTGAGTTCAACGGACAGGCAACCATTCCCGAAGGAGAAATCACATTACCGATCGAGCTCGGAGGATCAGGAGCGAACGGACGAAGGATCATGGAGACTTTCAAGGTGGTGAAAACGGCCAGCGAGTACAATGCCATCCTCGGGCGAACGGCCTTATATAAGCTGAAGGCAGCCGTATAAATCTTCCACTATTCGATCAAATTCCTAACTGAGAACGGTACGGGAGTCCACTACGGCAACCAAAGGGAAGCAAGAGAGTGTATCATGGCAATCCCGTCATTAGAAATACACTCGCTCATGATGGCAAACGAGGAAGAAAAACTAATCGTCGAACCAGTTGTAGAACCCGAACAGTCAGACGAGCAGGAAGTTTCGCCCAAACAGCCGGACAACAGTGCGGCCAAAGGAAGCACGAACGAACGAAAGAGGGTGAGGGAAGAACCGATCGAGGGCCCAGAAGAAGAAGACGAGTACCCCATGCTGACGTCATCAAACACAAACACGCCTTCACCCCCGAGAGACGGACAGGGAGAAAAAGCTGTGAAAGAATCGGAGGCCGATCAATCCGACCCAAATGGAGAACAAAACCAGAAGTCCACCCAAGAGGAGGACGATCCGTGCGATAAGGAGGATCGAATGGCAGACTGGGGGCGCCGACCAGGGAAGGAACCAATTGAAGAAAAAGATGAGCTGGACCCCCGAGATCAATTCAAAGGAAGGAAATCCGAACGGGCCGATCCAAGCGAAGACACAGAGACGATCTATCTTGATGAACCAGCCTGCACCAAGTCATTGCGCATTGGACGCGACATAGGCAAACCAATCCGGTCCAGGTTAATTATCTTTTTAATCGAAAATGCAGATGTCTTCGCCTGGACGCATGAAGATATGCTGGGGATCGATCCAAACTTAGCATGCCATAGCCTTCGGGTTGACCGAACGGTGAAGCCAATCGTGCAGAAAAGGAGGAAGTTAGGACCGGAACGGCAAGGAGCGCTCGAGGGAGAAGTAATAAAGCTGATCGACAACCGGTTTGTTCGTGAAGCAAAGTATCCGGTTTGGGTATCCAATCCGGTCCTGGTAAAGAAGAACAGTGGGACGTGGCGATTATGCGTCGACTTCAGCGATCTCAACCGGGCCTGCCCCAAAGACAGTTATCCGTTGCCCAGCATCGATTACATGGTAGACGCGACGTCCGAACACAAACTCATGAGCTTCATGGACGCCTACTCGGGGTATCACCAGATCCCGATGGACCCGAACGATGAGGAGCACACATCTTTCTATTCGGCCAGAGGACTCTATTGCTACACCATGATGCCATTCGGTCTCAAGAATGCCGGAGCAACCTACCAGAGGCTCGTGAATAAGATGTTTGCAGATAAAATCGGATGAACTATGGAGGTTTACGTGGACGATATGCCTGTTAAATCTGTTTTTGCGAACGATCATGTGTCACATCTTAATGAAATGTTTTCTATTTTGCGTGATTACTCCATGGTGTTAAATCCCAAAAAATGTACATTTGGAGTAGGTTCGGGTAAGTTTTTAGGATACATTGTTAGTCAAAGGGGAATCGAAGCAAACCCCGACAAGATTAAAGAAATACTCGAACTAAAACCCCCTAGGTCGATAAGAGAAACGCAAAGTCTAATGGGTAGATTAGCAGCTTTAAGCCGATTCATATCAAAGTCCACGGACAAACGTAGCCCTTCTTCGAGGCTATTAAAAAGAATAAAAAATTCGAATGGATAAACGAATGCCAACACGCACTGCATTACATCAAGGAGTCGCTCGTTCGGCCCCCCGTCCTCCAAAAGCCAACCCCGGGAGAGATGCTGTATCTATACCTCGGAGTTACCCCGATCGCGATAAGCGCCATACTCGTTCGGGAGGAGAATTTGAACCAACATCTGATCTATTACACAAGCAAGGCATTACATGAAGCTGAGGTCCGTTACCCACAGATCGAGAAGTTAATCTTCGCCCTGGTAACGGCTTCGACAAAACTCAGGCTGTATTTCCTTGAACACTGGGTGACCGTCTTGTCAGCATATCCTATTCGACAAATTCTCCACAAGCCTGATACGTCGGGACGAATGATCAAGTGGGCCGTAGAGCTTGGGCAGTTTGATCTCCAATATAAACCACGGACAGCGATAAAGGGACAAGCACTGTCCGACTTCGTAGCCGAGTTCACAACGGGAGCCGAACCAGTCCAAACTACAGAGACGTCGTGGGAAATGTACATAGACGGATCGGCCACAACCGAAGGGTCTGGGGGAGGAGTCGTGATCGTCAGCCCCCAAAGAAAGCTGTATTTCCATTCGGTCCGGTACCTGTTTGCCGCGACTAATAACGAGTCAGAATACGAGGCACTGTTATCCGGCCTAGATTTGGCCCGCTCGATGAACATCACGAATTTAAAAGCATACTCGGACTCAATGTTGTTAGTGAAGCAAATCTCAGGGGAGTTCGAGACGAAGGAGGCCCGCCTGGTGCTATATTTACACCTAGCTCGAAAGAAGATAGCGCGAGCGAACATTCAGCTCGTGCACGTCCCCCGGTCAGAGAATGTCCAGGCGGACGTGCTCGCACGATTGGCATCCAGCAGAGGAACTGACGAAATCGAGTACGTTTAAACACGCCATCAGAAGAGGCCGGCCATTCAGGTCGAGCAAATCATGAGGATTGAAGAATCGGTCGCTGCCACAACTTCCGGATGGATCGACCCGACCCGATCGTACTTGGAGAAGGGAGAACTTTCTGCGGATCTCAAGGGTGCTCGATCATTAAGGATCCGAGCGGCAAGATACACGATCATGGCAGGAACGTTATACAAGAGGGGCTATTCGAATCCATTGCTCAAATGTGTGGACGACGAAGAAGCCGAGCGAGTCATGAGAGAAGTCCACGAGGGCGTATGCGGGAACCATTCGGGGGGGACGAGCGTTGGCACACAAAATACTACGACAGGGGTATTACTGGCCCACGCTGAAAAAGGACACGTTTAACCTAGTCAGGAGGTGTGTTAAGTGTCAAACGTTCGCCCCTAACTTGAAACAACCGGCTCATCCGCTTACCTCAGTTTTCAGCCCCTGGCCGTTCGCCAAGTGGGGGATCGATTTAATCGAACCCTTACCAACAGGCAAGGGAGGAGTCAAATACGCGGTCGTAGCGGTCGATTACTTTATTAAATGGGCGGAGGCCGAGCCTTTGGCCACGATAACCGAGCAGAAGATGGTAGACTTTTTGTGGAAATCAATCATTTGTCGTTTTGGTATTCCCCATTCTGTGGTAACTGATAACAGACGACAGTTTGAGGGAAAGAGATTCGGCACGTTTTGTGAAGAGCTGGGGATTCGACATCATTTCTCTACCCCTTACCATCCGCAGTCAAACGGGCAAGCAGAGGCCATCAACAAAATTATTAAACAAGGTTTGAAGGTACGACTGGAAAGCTCAAAAGGGGCCTGGCCGGAGGAGCTCCCGAACATCTTGTGGTCATATCGGACCACAACAAGATCGGCGACGGGAGAAACACCGTTCTCGTTAGCATATGGGGCAGAGGCAATGGTCCCGGTCGAAATCGGGTCAGAAACGTATCGAGTAAAGAATTTTGAAGAGGAAGCGAATAGCGAGGGATTGCGAACGGGTTTGGACTTAATAGAAGAAGCGCGGACGCAAGCCGAACTAAAGAACGTAGTATACAAACGGGCGACCGAAAGACACTTCAACGCAAGAGTCAATTCTCGTCTCTACCGAACGGGAGAAATCGTTTTGAAGAGAGTGACGGGACCGGATCCGGGTCCCCTAAAACCAAAATGGGAAGGACCATATCAAGTTGACGCCGTACTTAAGAATAGGGCCTACCGATTGAAGTACTTAGATGGGACCCCGCTGATGTATCCCTGGAATGCCATGTATTTGAAAAAGTAGTATCAATAAAGAGTGTTCTCGTCCGATCAAAAATAAAATGACCCCAAGTAGGGTAACAACTGGACCACTTAAGGTTGCCCGGTATCGGACCACTTAAGGTCGTCCGATCAAAAATAAAATGATCCAAAGTAGGGTAACAACCGGACCACTTAAGGTTGTCCGATCAAAAATAAAATGACCCCAAGTAGGGTAACAACCGGACCACTTAAGGTTGCCCGGTATCGGACCACTTAAGGTCGTCCGATCAAAAATAAAATGACCCTAAGTAGGGTAACAACCGGACCACTTAAGGTTGCCCGGTATCGGACCACTTATGGTCGTCCGATCAAAAAATAAAATGACCCCACATAGGGTAACAACCGGACCACTTAAGGTTGCCCGGTAT